GAATATAAAAGAAAATGGTTTCCGAAATAGTAATAAATGAATAAGAAATAATTTAATTTATTTATGCCCAGCTAACCGATAAATACCAAAAATTTTAACAAAGCTTTAGAAAATGTGTCCACATTTTGATTTAAAAGAATTTTCAGTAGTATAACTTTTTTAGCAGTAAAATATTTGTTGGAAGTTTATTTGTCATAATTTTATTTAAGAATAATTATTCGTAATAAAATTTTGTTTCAAAAATGTAAAATGTCAGCAAATAAATCCGTGGTTTATTATTTATTTTTTCGAAAGAAAAATACATTTAAGATTATAAAGTTTGAAATCCTATTATTTCGTATTGCTTAATTCATTGATTTTTAGCAATACATGAATTCAAATTTTAATCAGTATGTCACACAAAATAATATCTTGTGAGGCGCCAAATTTGATCGAATACAGTTGCAAATGCATCTGACCAGAAACTTCTCGCCATTTAATCTACTTATATCTGCCAACAGGCAAAGGAAAAAATCCAATAGATTTCCCAATCCGAAATATGTAAATGTCATACTAACTGTTACATTCTAAAATATTTTAAAACTTGAATTTTTATATTTAACAAAATATAAAACTACATTCCACTAATAACTACAAATTTAAATTGACTGAAATATTTTCAATTTACAATTAATATTGAATGAACTTGGATATAGAATATATTTGTGGGGAGTGTTAAATTCAGCAATGTCAACCGTCATCTATGAAAAGGTATAGATCACCGTATTTTTTTAGTGCTGAATGCGAGAGGTGTATTAACTTCACAATCATAGTCGCTCCTCTGTTGCCGTTAGCAGTCGAGTAATCCCAAGTATGCAAGCCGACGTTGTGCGTGATCGAGATGAGACTGAGTAGCAACAGTGTGAGGAGGTGGATAATGTCGCAGTCACAAGTAGCAAGTCAACTGCTTTAATGTGGATAATCCATCGAAGTAGGCGTTACTGTCTAGGTAGGCGTGTTCATATCGAAGTGGGCGTTACTGCCAAGGTAGGCGAGTTCACATCACGTCCAGGTCACCAATGTGGGGAGTGTTAAATTCGGCAATGTCAACCGTCATCTATGAAAAGGTACCCCGATATAGAGTCGAGTTAACATGTCTTATATACTAGTGAATTGTAGTTGTAATTTTGTAGTGGTAGATATGCTACATATTTATTATTTTACATTCATTTTTGAATACATAAATTTCAATGAAAAGAGATATTGAAACTATTTTAAATAGTTATAAGATTTTAGAGATAGTTTAGATAGATTCTTCAATTAATTTAAAAATGGATAATTGCGAAAAATGAAAATTTCAGAAAAAAAAGAAAAGCTTCAAACTGATTATTTTAAATCTTGCTTACTTCATTATTTAACAATAATACATATTAAAATACTCAACCAAGCTATAAACAGAACAAAATTTAATTTTAAAAGGGATTTTTATCAATTTTAAGGAATTTTCAGAACAGTTGACAAGGAGAGTTTTTTGAATTAAACCAGATTTTTTTTAAATTAAACCAGAAAACCAGGAGAAACCAGCAAAATTGAATAGTCAACTGGAAAATCCAGTAGAGTTAACAGTAAATTTCAAGACATGGAATTTTTTTAACAATATCACTATTAAAAATAGTTAAAACTGAAATCAAAGTACTTCCGTATGGGCAAAGCCGTGGGTAATAGCTAGACAGTGAAAAATTTAGTTTATTATATTGTTTAAAAGTATGTGTTAGAATTAGAGGAAAGGTTGAAGAATTAAAATACAATTGCACAGTGCGATCCCCTTGGTTACTTTCACAGTTTATATATTATACGATATATTTTTGAAGGGTGATCAAACAGATCACTAAAGGCAGCTAATAATACAATATTTAGATAAAAATTTATTAAGCATATTTAACTTACTTGTTTTGCTATATTCTTTTCAAGGGCTTTTTCTAATTGACTTATTGTCTCTTTAATCTTCTTCTGAAGCTCTTGATTAAAAGCTAACAATTCCTCTTCAGATGCACAAGCCTTAAAAGCCTGGTTATAACACATGAAAAGTCAAGTGACAATACAAATTAGAAAAATGAAATAAAATAATAAACTTTAAGATATTAAAAATTACCAAATTACCTCATTCCTTTGCTGTGTACTATAGAGACCTAAAAAAAAGTTTCATAAATATAATAATTTATAACATAATGCATTGAAAGATATTACTGCAAGAGCATGTTAGTAGACAACACGAAAATTTTTAGTAAACTTGAAAAGGTCAATTTTGAAATTTACAGAAGTATCTGGAAATTGATTATAAAACATCTATTTACACTGAAAACTATTTTATTAAAAGATTCAGTAGAATGAACTGAGTGTTCAATATCTACTGCTGATATTTTTTCCAACTCTACTGCAAATCTTCTGTGACAAATAATGATATCTTTTTTTACAAATTTGCTTCAAGAGACACAACATATTATAAATAGCTTTCAAACTCACCAACACGCATAAACAATCATGTACCTTCTTCCTGAAGCTAACAAAGACTTAATTAAATTAAACGGTTGAAGACAGTTATTTTCAAGCACAAAAGCAAAATTTTTTGGGAAGATTTCCGTATCGTGATCTATGGTCGAATAGTAGCCAAATCTTGGCAACTTCAGCGAGAAACTAAAAAGAAACGTCACAGCAAGGGACCAACTGGAAGGGTATAACCGGTAACTACCCCCAGGCAAACAACTTAATTTTTTTTCTTACATTTTTCCCGTTTAAAATCAATTTGGCACCTTGGCGATTGTACTTGGCATAGCAGATCAAGATACAGAAATATCCTCCATTTTCAAGACAGACAACTTTCTTTATGTTCTCGCAAGCCACTTCCTGGAAATTGCCAAAACTTTGTGATTATTCAGTCACAGATCACCCCTTTCTCTGCACTGGAAAATTACTTCTTGATTTGAAATTCTTTGTTTCATCCATCAATAGATTAATTATTAAGAATGCAAATTATAATAGACGAATAGAGAGGTTAAGAAATGATATTTTTAGGAGGGACTAGCGCTTGGCAAAAAAGGACCCTGAAATATGGAAATGATGGATCCCAAAGACCAGTAAATTCAGAAGTTTAGGGGAATCACTGATATTTCCTCAACCCTTTTTTATTTCAGATAAAATTTTTCTCCCCAATAATATAGAAAACAACTGAAGGGAAAACAATGGAATATTAGACTTACTGTCGCTTTGGGAACTGGCTATCGATTTGGTGTCCAGAGAAGACAAATCTAGTTCTTGTTTGACATCTAAAGAGCGGTAATCGCCATTAATTATATTATTTAATAAAGCCTCGCAATCCTCTATACCAAACCTATCACTTGGGTTGTAAACCTCTTCATTCGAGGCCATGGTGTTTATTTTGAAAATTTTAAATGATTTCTAATGAGTTCAGCTTTGCACTAACAAATTACGCAAGGCCGCAACCGCGGTTATGCAAAAAAATTACTTTTTACTTTTAGATGTTAATTTATTTGCCAAGATACCTCAACACTTGACCTAAACTTTTAGATTTATGTTTCATTACTGTAAAAATATCTCTTTAAATAGTAAATAATTCAAAGATTGAGTTTTATCTATCATCATATATTTTTTTTACTTAAAATATGTGTATTTTTATTAAAAAAATACACTTTATCTGTTTTTTATTCAGTGAAGATCCAAATCGAAACAACACAACTCATCAATTTTTAATGTTGCGGTTTTCTTTTTTGAGAAATTGTAAACAAATGTTTAATACTATTTAATTTTATAACTTATATAAAAAGCAAACCTAAATTATTATAGATGAGTTTTTATTTAACTTAATCATATTTTATTATAACTAACATTACCAAGTAGACTGAAGGTAATCTTATTGCAACGAACGAATTTTGAAAACCAATTCTACCGATATATTCTGTTCCTAGAAACTTCATTTAAAACCAAAAAGCACTTTGTTAAGAACTAATTTATCACTTAAATTTTTGTCACTTACTGTAATTAGTCACATTTATGTATTACGATGGCTAATAAAGTATTAATCCGATAATAGTTAGTCTACATTCACATATAAAGCTCGATGGCGTTAGGAAGGTTTATTTTATTAATGAATGTAGTTATTTTTTGTCTTTGCATCGACTTAGTTTTAGAGCTAAAAGATCTCATTTTAATAAAGTGTGAATATCCAAGTTTTATTAATAAATTAACGAACTTAATAAAGTACAATGCATTTATTATTTTATCTCATTGATTTAAGAAAATGAATAAAATATATAAAAACCAAATAAGTTAATTACTATGGGGATATTTCCTAATCGTGATCTGTCTCATCTGTAACAAACACCAAGACGCCGAATGGATTTTAAACTTGAAAATCTTTTTGAAACATAATGTAGAGGTTTACTCAAGGGTGGCTAGGAGTTGGCCCCCTTCAATAATGTTTTAGTTTCTTGCTGATTGCTAAAAAATTGCCAAGACTTAGCAAATATTCTGGTCATGATACAGAAATCTTCTCTTCATTAGAATAATTTGAAGGCATTATGAAAAGGGGTATTCCCGTATCTTGATCTTTTACTCCTACTACAATTGCCAAATGCATTAAAAACTTGCTAATTTTTATAAATTTTTTTTTTTTTTTTNTTTTTTTTTTAGATTTGGCCATAAATGATTTCAAGTTGTACTGATAGAGTTGTTCGAGTAAAAACAAGCACGAGCTTTTTTTAAAAGTCAAAACGTAAAAATATAATAATAAATTTGCAGTGAAATATTTTACTTATGTGTATTAAAAAATAAAATTAAAAAACAAAAACAAACCAAAGAAATTTTTACTTAAGTAATATGAAACATTTTTTTAATTATTTGTTGAAAAAAATGCGTTTTTAAAACATTGTCAGACCTTCTGTTATTTATTTATTTAAAATAATAAAGTTGTATTGACTAATGGTCAAATTCTACACTTAATAAATATAAGTTTTGTTTTATTATTATTTTCTTTTTTGAAAATAAAATCGATTAAAGATTTATTTGTTTAAAAATAATGCTGACTACCTAACAAATTATTAAACAAACATGTATTGAAGGAGTTATATTTAAGAAATATTTTTAACAAAAATACTAAATCATGGTGCTTAGCGTTTTTATGAAGTGCTTTAAGGTGCTTATTTTCAATTTCCATTTTTTAAAAACCCTTTAAGGTGCTTTTTTCATGAAGGTTTTTAAAAAACTCTTAATATTCCCTTTTCGAAGATTTTTTTTTCTTTACTATGTTGATTTTATCCACATATTATACAAAAGTGTGGTTTTCACATTGTTCTATTCAACGTTTTCGCAATTCATTCAATCACAATCCCTTTCGGCTTACCGTTGGTTCATAGCATATGAAAGCGCCAAATTTTTTACATGTTTGATGAAAGATTTGCAAGTCTACATGTGCATCTACAGAGATGGGTTTGGTGAGATTCTAGCACTCTCTTGTGCAACTCTGCTGCATTTTGTAAGATATTCTCAATTTCAGGCTCTTTGAAATCAAACTAAAAAATCTTTAGATTTTTTTTTTATGGTGGCTAATGTAATCAAGATAAAATTTCTTTGTCAGAAACTAGCTATTATATCATGATCATGTAAAGTCTTTGGAAATTATTTTGCATTTTGTTAATGTCTATAATCGTTTTGTTTTTTTTTAGTGCTTAAAAAGTACTATAAAAAGGTGCTTATTTTTTGTTGAAAGATTTGGCCCCTATAAATTTAAAAGCACCATTGTTAAATTATTAAAAGCTATCAAAACATTGATTAACTTTTTATTTAATTAAAAGAATTCAATTGTTTTAACTAATAACTTGATTTTTTCAAAAAGTAAATAATGCAAACTTTGTTCTAATTTTCTCAAAAATAAAAACTAATAAATGTAGACTTTGCTTTAATTTTTTAAAGATCAAAAATGACTGAAGATTTATTGGCTTAAAAATAATCAAATTATTATCTTTGTGTAATAATTTTTTTTTTTAAAAAAACTAACTTTTTATGACAAAGTATAAATTATTTATACAAAATACCCCTATTAAATTCTATCGCTTAAAATTTTAAAAGTTATTAAAAAAATAATAATAATAATCTTTTTTTTTTATTCTTAATTTCTTTTCTTTAATAGATTGAGTTCAGAATGAAAATTTAAGAGAACAGCAATTGCACAGCTATCTTAAAGTAATAGTTGGTCTACAAAAAATAATTGACTGGAAATGTTAAAACTCAACAGACAAAGAAACAAAAAAGTGATGAAATAATGCACAACGATCACTAAGTAGCAGAAGTCTCACTGAAAATAATTTTCAAGAAATTTTAAATCCTGAAAAAATAAAATGCATAGCAATTGTAGAATAATGAAAGTCCCTTTAAAAATGATCTGAAGCATAAAATTCCGAAGGAAAAAAGTATGCATAAATAAACTATGCATTGCAATCGATATTTTAATGCTGATCCTTGCATTAAACCGTGATTTCCGATTCAATCCACTCTTCGTCATTCAACGCCATGAAATGAACATATCCTTTATAACTAGACAAAATCAACATCTTCGGCTAGACGAAACCAAAATCGTCCTCATCAGCGTAGTAACAGCGCTATAGTAGACAAGGACCCTTGCATGTTAAATCACAAGCATCGTCTTGTGTCAGCTTAAATCAGATTTCTGATGCCTGAAACGGCTAAGTCAGTAATCGGCTTGCCGATATATGCGTTAAGTTAATATTCCGTGATACATTGATTGATTTATCGTCCAGACCTACTGGTGACATCACAAAATTGATCAGTTCCAAATTATTAAATCAAAGCATTAGATATTTTCAAAATTATAACTGAGAACAAGCCATTATTTCTTTTATTGTTTAAATTAAAATAATTAATTTTTAAATATGTAGTACTTGAAAGCTTTTATTCTGAAATGAGCATTATATTTTCTAGATCTATCTTTTCTTATAAGATGTCAGAATCTGAAGATGAAGGCTTTGTTGTCCGGGTAAGGGGTCTTCCATGGTCTGCTACTAAAGAAGAAATTCTTAAATTTTTTAATGGTATGTACAATTCCTTATAAAATATGTTTATAAGTCTTCCACATTCAATATGCAATATTTTAAGCTAATTTGTATCATTAGTTTTCTTATTTTAATAAGAGTCTTTAATTAATGTTTGTTTTACTCTTAATTTTGCAAAAGAATATATGTTTTATTCATTTTTCTACAAAATCAATTTTAAAATGAGTTCTTATTCCAGATTCATCAGGCATTGAAAAATCAATATCTCTTTCAATATGAAAAAGAAATAAAAATTATTCCTTTAGACAGAAAAAGGCTTTTACATTTTCCATGTTGACCTATTTTACGCAATTTCTTTACTCTTATATAAATTCAATTTATTTATTCAACTAATTAATTTAGTTTGTTTCATTTTATGCATGGAATTCCATTATTGAATATTAAGTACTAATAAGACTTTTTCAAAGTACAATTTAAGAATTCAAGTGCGAAAATGCTTGCTATTGGAATGTATTCTATTAAGGCCACAGCTTACTTTTCTCATTTTTTCCCATCAAATATTTGTTATATATATATATATATATATATATTTCTTTTCAATTTTCGCAGTAACAACATGTAGCAAGCATTTAGTTGATAATGTTTTTTTTTTCATTTCCAAGTTTGCTTGTAAAGTAAATTTGGCAATGTCAAGAAAGTTTTTTTGTTATTATTATTCTTTTATTTATTATTACTATTATTTATTTATTTTTTGGCATTCTAAAAATATTTTAGTAGTTAACAAAATTATTGTAAGAAAACTCTTTTCCTAAAATCTAAATAATTTTAATTATATTTCAAACATTTGCACTACTCTTTTTTAAAAAAAGAAAATTAAAAACTTCAAACTGAGCAAAACTTCTTACATTTAATTTTTTTAGTGTTTTTTTCCAATTTAATTCTCGACATGTAATTTAAAAATAATAAATATTACAAAATTGCAACTTGTGTAATAAGGCTTTGAATCATGCTATATTGTTGCTGGTTCAAGAATCATCTTTCTTTCATTGTAATGAATGTGCTACAAGGGCGCCGGCAGAATAATCTCAAAGGGGGTGCAACCCTCTAACAAACTAATCCCCCTCCCAAAAAAAAGAGGAAAAAATTTAAAAAATTCAGTTATTACATTTTGTTTTGTTATTACATATACTTTCATCTGTAAATTTTTTTCAAGATTCTTTTCTTCATTATTTTTTTAAAAAAAAGTTCGAATTTCTTGTACTTGCAAATTTTGCCTTTAGAAACTGTATTGATGGCTCTGGCATAGCTACTGACTTTGAAGCACAAATAACTACAAGCAGTAGTTTCGTATACTAACGTGTTTGTGGCTGGCCAAGAAGGTGGCGTTCGAAAAAAATTACTCGAGACAAATATCCTAAAGCTGTGTTTTTTCATTCTGCCAATCATGTATTGAATCTCGTGATCAACGACTTAAACCGCGTTAAGGGAGTACAGAATACTGTAGGGACAACGAAGGAAATTATTAGCTTTTCAAAGAAAGTACCTTGTGACAAAAAGAAATTCCTAACATCCCTTTACTCTGTGAAACACGCTGGTTAGAAAAGTACAAGAGTACCAGAGGATTTTCTGAAAAGTTTGTTACAATTATAAAAGCTTTTGAGGGCCTTACACAAAAAGCGGCAAACAAAGACACCAAAGTGAAAGCTAATATACTTTTATCAGCTGGACTATTGGACTCCATTATATCTTCTTTGAAAGACCGTTTTTATTTTACATAAAGAAAAGCATTTTCACTCTTACAGCTTCACCCGTATGCGATGAACAAATTGGACAAAGCGTCCTATCCTGAAGTTTTAGAAGATATATATATACTATATACTTGTATAAAGATCTGCTCTCATCGAATTTCATCACTGAAGCTACAACGTGGTACGAAATGTGGAGGAACAGAGAAAATTCTTTCGAATCACTTGAATACACAGAATTTAGTTATTAAGGCCACACCGTTTTATCCAGCTGTAGAGGAGGCAATCAAAACTGGCCTAACTCTTCCAGCTACTACGTGCACTATTTAACGCACTTTTAGTACAACGCGAAGCATCAAAACATGGAATAAATCTACAATGTCTCGCGAGAGATTAAGTAGTATATGCTTGCTCAGTGTGCATAAGAAAAGAATCAAAGATAACTCAGAATTTATTGAAAACGTTATAAACAGATTTGGACTGCAAACAAGACGATTATAGTTCTTGTTTGATTAAACAATTCTTTAATTGTTTATGTATCAATGATTACTTAATTATTTGATTTTGAATAAAAATATTTTTAATAAAAAATTTTTACAACAAAATTGTTTTCCGGTATCTCTTTAATTGCTTTTAAAAAAAAACGAGGGGGTGCAAGTGCACCTCCTTGTCGGCGCCCTTGATGTGATAGTTACTGAGGCAAATAGTATTAATCATAATACTTTTATCAACTAATTTTTTTCTGTGTCTATCTTCTATCTGTCACTAGATAAAATAATATTTTCATCCAATTCTAATTAGGAGTTAATATAAGAAAAGGTGTTGATGGCATTCACATGACACTTTCACGTGAAGGACGTCCTAGTGGGGAAGCTTATGTTGAACTTGATACGGAAGAAGATTTTAACAAAGCCTTGGATCAACACAATGAGCATATGGGACATAGATACATTGAAGGTACTTTTAAAATAAATTATATTATCATTCACTGCATATATATATATAGCTTTTACCCTATTATCAAAAAAAATCAGCTGACTTTCATTAAAATATAAGCATTTGGCTTATGATGATTTAAAAGATTAATCTGTTTAATTGATTTGCATTTATTGTATGAAAAATAGCACATCAGTATTTCTTTTTTGAAAGTTAGTCATTGCAAATTACAAGAACTTTTGAACTGCAGAACAAACAAAGACTGAGTAACATTTATTAACATAATACTAGACATGCATATGGTTGAAAATGTCTAGGGTACCATCTATTGTTATAAAGAAAACTTTGTAGCCTCTAATAATATCACAGTAACTTTGTAAATTATTAAAAATGAGACAGATTGTTTCCATTTTGATCATATGAATGTTAATGTAATGTTTGACTATGTAAAGATATCATTTGATCTATTTAGAAAAATTTTGAGAAGATGAGGGCTCTCAAAGAGCATAAAAAAGAGAAAGATAATATGATTTAAAAGTGAAAAAAAAATTATTATGCTCAAAATTATTGTTTCTGCTTTAATTACTGTATGTAAATTTAATTTTTTAAACATGCAGTACAGAACCTGTTATCCGGAAATCAGAAAACCAAAAAACCCGAACGAAATTCGATAAATTTTCCCACCATTTTCAAAAAAAAAAAAAAAAAAAAAAAAAAATTAANTTTTTTCCTCATAAGATTTTAGGATTTTTCTTTCTATTTTAAAAGATGTTTACCTTACCATCATTTTGGAAATAATCATTAGTTTTAAGATTATTTCCAAATTATTTTTTTTTAGTTGGGTTTAACAATAAAAAAAACGGCTTTTTGTAGCGATTCAGAAAACCGGAAAAATCATTTATCCGGAATAGCAATGGTCCCAATCGTTCCGGATAATCAGTTCCCTACTGTACTATAAAAAATTTTAAAAAACTTCACATGCATTATTACTTCATATGCTGTCATTCCTGACTATTTGTTTAAGTTTTATATCGTTCCAATTCGTTTTTTTTGTAGGATTTGTATTTTATTTTCTACATAAATTCTTAAAATTTGGTGTCTAAAACATTTGAGATATTGCACAATAGTTAACATGAAATTTATATTCCATGAAATCTGTGGGGGTTTCTTCTTTTCAGGTTAACAACATGCTATTCTGCTTATTATGTAATTCTGTGATTTTTTTTTGTAATAAAAAAAAATATCTAATTCTCTTTGTATTTTTCAGTATTTAAATCTAAAAGAAGTGAAATGGAATGGGTTATCAAGCGAAGTGGAGCTCACCAAGAGGACTCATTAAATGATGGTTGTGTTCGTCTTAGGGGGTTGCCGTTCGGATGTTCTAAAGAAGAAATATCACAGTTCTTTTCGGGTAGGATATTTGGACAACACAACTCGTGATTTGTGTAGTCACTGAATTTTGTGTTGTAACTAATCCAACTGTATATTTAATATATCTTTTTGCTGTTTTTATTCATTTTTTTCCTTATTTTCATAGTGTTATTTTAGATAAGCTTTTACTATTATATCAATGAAATATATTTTCTGTAGCATTTCATTTTACAGTTCAATACATTGTTTACGAAATATTCACTCCTTTATAAAAGAAGAAATTACTTATTTTTCCTCTTATAAAAGTGTTAAATTTGACAGCTTTAGTGTTATTGTTTTTTTTTTCTTTCTGATTATTTATTTCTTGTTTTCTTTTTTCACTTATATCAGTTTTAAACATACAGTTAACGATCACTCTATTCATGCAGTGTTTTTCGTTCAGCTGAACTTGATTGTGTTTTTAAAGAAATTTAAATATATTTCTCTTTTTTAGTCACATTTTGTTTTACTTTTATTCTTTTGCTTATATAATATCCATTCTTCATAAAAGGTAAAATCTTAATAATTTATGAATTGTTATTAATGAGCACTTCACATTGTAATTATTTTTGAGACTTAAGAAACATTCCAAGACAGTAAAAAAAAAAAGAATGTCATACATATATTTTTTATCCTTATTATTATTCATTACCCTTTCCAATGCCTTTACATTATTAGATAGAGAAAATGGACTAGAAATAAAAAAGAATTGAGGTAGAAATAATAAAAGAAATTGAGCTAGAAATAATTTAAAAATTAATTAAGTTATTGAGTTGCTATCTTTTGACTGTTATTTGCTCATTTTGGCTGTTTAAGTTTAAATATTCAGTTATCTATGAGATTTTTCATATGCTAGATATCCTTCTAAATATTAAAGATACCGGAAAATAGTCTGCAAAAGAATAACATCTCAAGAGATAATTACACATCTTAAAAGTTTTTACAATGGCATAAACTCTTTTAAGTTTCAGCATGAAAATTTTTCAGAAATAGCTACACAAAATTCTTAATTTTTTTGACACTAATGTCACCCATTTATATGGTCAACCATCCATTGGTTACTGCTACATAAATGCTACAAAGAAATTTTAATGGCTAAGTATACTCTTAAAAGTCTGTATACAATTAGCACATTTGTAAAATTGGCTATTATTATTTTGTTTGTATTTTTAAGTAATCTGATATCCTTATCATTTCATATTTTTTGTTTAAGTATTATTTAAGGCATTTATTAATTTAAAAAATATGCTTCTACTCTATTTCTAAGACTTATTGCCCAATTCCCAATATGATGGGTTTTAAGGTTTCAGCATTTTTAGAATAGAAATTTATCAAATTAAATTTGATTCAAAATATCTACTATAGCATGAAAGTCTATTTTTAAGCAATAAAATTCCTACCCATAAGTGATCAATTATACAGTAAAATCAAATTAACCCATAATTCTGTATTATCTACCTCTTATGTTTACCTGCATTATTAAGCTAGTTTTTTAAGAAAATAGATAAATCATGCATTTAGGACGATATTTTAAATATTTCTAACAAAATTAATGTATCAATACTCAATCTATTTATTAAGCCAATTTTGTTCCTCTCTTTTTGAAGGGCATTAAAGAAATTTATTAATTTCTATATTCAATTCAAAATATTAAATCCTAAAATATTTAAATCAACAAATGTGCCTCAAAGTATCTTTATTCTTCATAATTTTTAAAAATGTTTCACATTTTTTAAAATTTCGTGTGAAGTTTTAAAAGTTTTTATTTTTCACTTAAATCACTTCCTGTTCGAACCTTAATATTTATCATCAAATTCATTGTATAAAATTTTTTTGTGCTACCAATATTTTTCCCCTTCCTCTTCACTGTATTCTTAATTCCTTTTCACTATATTTTTTTTTAAAATTATGACAAATTTATGGACAGAAATCATATTGTAAACTGTTTGTGTTTTTTCTTTATTTCAACACTTTTCTCTTTCATATTTAATAAAAAGTTTACATATTTCTTTTAGGATAATATTTTTTTTGCTAATATTTTTTCTAGCTTTAATTTTGAAATATTTTCCTCTTTGCTCTTCTGTATTGTACTTGTTTTCTAAAAATTATATCTTAAGTTAATTTTATTTCAGAACTTATTCAAGGGTATAACTTTTCCTATTGTTGTTATTTTAGTTTTTAAATGTATGTATGTATGTATAAAGTGTTATATGTTCTTCATTTTCCTCTTTAAAATTATTGTGCATTTACTTTCAGTGTAAAGTTTGTTATGCTATTGTTATTTGTTGCATGATTTATGTATGTTTATTGCTTTTTCTCTGTTGTTAATCTTTCCTATTCAAGTTTTACTTTTTAACAACTTGCTTTTAAATGTATTTTGAGTATGTTCCAGTAAATCTCAATTCTTTTAAATATGAAATGTGCTTCAAATTTTGTATAATTGTTACATTTTTTAAAATATTATTTTCATATTGCTTTTTAAAATAAATACTTTTTACTAGTGACTTTTCTTAGTTTAATTTCTAGTTCATTGGTATTATCATTTATCTAACAATCAAGTCTTTTAAAAGATTATAATTAACTTTGAAAGTGAAACTATTTTTTAATGTGAAATTTAATTCAAAATTTTAAAACAGAAAATTTATTTTTATGACCACTGTGTTATTTTAACCACTTGCGCTGGCAAAAAAAAATCACTGACTCGTGTACCAAAACGATCCAGCATAACTCACTGGGAGGAGTCACGCAGTGTGCAATGCCTAAGACTGCAGTGCGCACTGTGCGATGCGTGTTTCCACACCCATTCCTTAGGAATAGGATCAATTTCACAATCTTCATTTATGTATTCTTCCTCGTCGTCAGAAAAAATTCTTTGTCGGTTTCGGAGTGGAAAAATTATTTCATCAAACTCACTATCACTACCATCGTGTTTTGTTTTTCTATTTGTCGAAATGATGCCGTTAACGTCACTTTTGCTTTCCATTTTAGAATGTGGGTTAAATATTTATAACTGTATGCTATGTAGTGCACTGATGATCTGTACTCTGGCAACAATTCCACCTGACATACAACGCATGTCGTTTTTGTTTCTGTAACAATTCCATGATGACGTAAGTACCACGTTGTCGGCGATGCTGTGACAAAAGCATTATGACGTGCGTGGCACGTCTTTCCAGCGCAAGTGGTTAATTAATAACATTTTTCACATCTTTAATGACATATGAGTCAACAATATTAAAATTAGTGCTAATTATTAGCAATATTGAATTCTAACTTTTGTTTAAGAACCGTTACTTAAGCATTGATGCTAAAATTGTTTTCTGAACTAGTATCACAATTATCTTGGATGTTAAAAGTAAAAAGTATTAAATTGGTTAAAATCAAATAAAAACTATGTATTTTATTTTACTTAGAAAAGGGTATGAATTATTGGAACAAACTTGAATATATTTTATTATTTTTATCTTTATAAGTATGTTTTTATATCATGATTATAAATGAATTGGGTTGGATTTCAATTAAAGGGTTGGAGATTGTTCCGAATGGTATTTCTCTACCAACTGACTACCAGGGGAGAAGCACTGGGGAAGCTTACGTGCAGTTTTCATCCAGGGAAATAGCGGAAAAGGCGATGGGGAAACACAAGGAAAAAATAGGGCACAGGTGGGCAAGCACGGGCTGCTTTAGCGGTGTGACTCCGTTTTCTGGGCCTGTTATATTTTTAATTATATTGTTTTTTTCTTACTTTATATCATGGTATATTATAAGAACCATTTTCTGTTCAACTTCTTGCTATTTTCAATGTTTAACTAAACTCTGCTTTTGTTGAATACTTAATTAATTATTTAGCTTTACTTATTTGCATCTAATTCATTGTATTTTATTTTTTGCTTTGTAAGTCTGCAATAATGTCTAAGAATAAATGCATGTAATATTCTATCTCGTATGCAGAATTCCCATAAGTTAGACAGAACAAGGAAATGTCGTAGAATTTCATTAAAGGCACTAAAGCTGAAAAAAAAAATTTTATTATTTATTCGTCTGAAGAACTCCTATTACAAACTTGGAAAACAATAAAAATCTTTGAATTTTTCATAACTGTAAGCAGTCATTACAATAAAAATAAAATAATTTTTATTACATCGATTACAATTATTCTTCGTAAAAATTAAACATTGCAGTGGAATTTTCACACTCTGAACATTTAATAGCATTCTGTTTTTTCTCAAAGTATAATATTTGATATATGATATAAAACAAAATTTCTTTTTCACATAAAAAATAGCATTGTATTGTTATAATATGATCTAGAATTTCTTGAAATATTCCTTGACAAACTGAATTTTTATCTGGATTTAAGTGAAAGCTTCGTTAAATAGTTCATTGTATTCTGGTTTTTGCATATAGAATTATAAATCTTAACTTATAAAAAAAATTTACAGTATTTACTTAAAGGATAAATTTAATTAAGATTTATGACTTATATATAAAAATAAATATTTGGTTAAATTAAAAATAGAGAACAATTATTAATTATTTAAGCATTTTGAGTTTCGATTTCTACTAGAACTTAATAAAGAAAAGATGTCTGTATATTTAAATTAAAATATTTTCAATTTCATTTAAGTTTTCTTTAAAAGGTGACCAAAAATGATATGAAGTCTATTGATTGATTACTTATATTATAAAATTTCTTTTCTTCTTTCTTTACTTGTATTACACATTGTGTTTATTTATTTCTCCATTTTTTATTTTAACCTTTAAAGCAAATTTTGATAATTTCATGGGAATAAATCGTATGTATTGTGAAACTTAGTCAAAATTTGCTTTATTTGCTAGAACAAAGGTTGAACAGAAAATAGGGACTTAAAATATTTAATAATTTTTAAATATATATAATATTTATTATTGTTACTTTTCATTTCTCTATTGCTCAAATATTTTGCATTCATGTTAATAAAATAATTAAGTAAGTCTATATGAAGTCTGACTATGCTAGTGACTAGCTGTACACTTTTACTCTTTTAAATGTGAGATTTTTCCTAACTGTAGAAAAATTCATGTTTTATTATATTGTTTAATAAATTTAAGTTTAAATATTTTTGACCACCATACCATATAAGTTATTGAAATTAATAAAAAAATTTTTAGATGACTTTAAAATAATGTGGTTTTACTCCTTTTCTTCACTTTAAGTGCTCGTGAAATGTTACAAAATTCTGCTTACTTTCTTTGTTTCATTTTACTACTATTGAGAAAAATCTACTGAAAGCATAAAAGTTAGGCAGCTATACAAGTGTATTTGAACATGAAAAGTCCAAAATTTTATGAAGTATTCTCATTTTCTTTGGTGTAATTTTGCCTTCAATGTTTCTATATTCTTCCTTTAACTGTTAGATATTTTTGAAATATTAATGAACTTTCTTGTTAAGTCTTGATATACGTATTTATTATTGTATGTGAATTTAAAATAAATAATTCTAAAATTTTATTTCTGTATTATAAATGTCTCTGTCATAAATTTAAATTATTATGTAGATAATTTTTTTTTTTTTTTTAACCTAGCATCACACTTAAAATACCAGAAAGGTATTTATTATTTTTTCCCAGTTTTATATATCAATAAATGAGAGCTTTTTAAAAATATGCAAATTGTATGTAATAAAAATTTATTTTTCTTGCATTTTTTCTTGCTTACATTAACTACTGTTCTTAAATATCTTCTTTATAATATTTGAATTAAAACAATACAAATGCTTTCTAATGTTTCAGCTACAATTTTCAGATGTTTATATTTTTTCTTTTTGTCACAGAAATTCTACACTAGTAGATTCTTAAATGTTTATTAGAAATAAATAGCATTTGTTGTTTAAAAAGAATTTTAATGCTTTTTAGAACACATAAAAATAGTTGTTTGTATCTTTAAAGTTGTTTATATTGAATTAATATGTTTGTGATTGTCGCCATTTTTATAAGTTTGTTTTCTGTCTTCTTAATTTCTAAATTTTTAATTCTGAAATTGTTGTTTTTCTTTGTATAAAATAAGGAAGTTAATTTATTGATTTTTTTTTAATTTTATTTTTTTGTAATTAATGTAAGGGTGGTATAAATTGCTTTTTTAATTTAATATTTCAATGAATTTGTTTTTCAAATTAAATTTTAAAAAAATCTGTATTTATTTTTTTATAATAATTTTTCTTTAGGATATATATGTACATGTGTGTGTATTTTTTTTTTTTTTCATTTTATCTTTAGAAGTGAGAATACTTCATTTTTTTTATATATATATATAATACAAAATCTGAGCAATAGTTGTAATTAAAACTTCAAAATGTGTTTTTTAAAAAACATTCATGTGATTATGTTTAAAGAAAATTTCACTCTACATAGATACATTGAAATATTCAAAAGCAGTTTGCAAGAAATTAGGCTCGCAGTTGGCATGTCTGGTCCAAAAATGCGGCCACTGATTCCCAATCGTCCAGGTCCTTATGATAGATCTGATCGTTATGGAGGCATGATAAATAGATATGGTATGGGAAGAGGTGGTCGAAACTTCAGAAGTAAGTTTTTTTCTTGAATTTAAGTACTTCAGTCTTATGAATAATTTAAAGTCTTGAATAATTTTTACATATTACTGATAGTAATTGTTTCATGGCTTCATGTTTAATTAAGGTTATTTGGATGAGGAATATAATGAATATTGTGGCAACTATGGAAATGGTGGTTTCGGATATAATGGAGGTGGTTTTGGTGGCATGGGTAAGTTGCAATATTTAAATAAACTTTCTTTTTGTGAGTACTAAAATATTGACATCAGAGATAAAAATTTCTTCAACAAATGAAAAAAAAAACTCCACGAAAGCTATAAGTTTCATCCTAACCAAATGAAAAACCCTTTCTTCAAAAAGAAAAATCAGATATTAAAACAATTTTTAAGCAGTTTCATATAATTGCCACCCCGGTTTAATTAATAGCATGCCTGCCAAGTCTCCTGTTTACCCATATATTTTCAAATTTCTTGGCATTTGAAGAAATTATTAAAAAAATTATAATTTTGGCGATAAAATATGTACTGTTGGCAAAAATACTTTTTTTATTCCTCAACAGATGGTGTTATTGCCAGTACTGGTGTTGAGTGTTAATAGTTTAAGTAATTAAAAATAATGCTTTAAAAAATCTTCTTTAAATTAAGATTTATATACATATTATTTACTTTGATAAATGCAAGTACTTATATTATTTCCAATTTTGAGTTTCTCTTTTTGACTTGCATGATGTATCAAAACTTTAGGCGTGGCCTAAAAAATTTCGCTAGTAAAATCTCCATTACTTTATTTCTCCAATGTCAGCAGGTATGTAATAGTATTAACTTCCAACTAAAAGGAAACAAATGGAGAAAAAGTAATAAATTTCTAACAAAATAAAAGTAACTGTAATTTCTTTTATTATTTTACAGAAAGGATTTTTTTTTTTTTTTTTTTTTTTTTTGCTGAGCTTAGTTTATAACTATCTTAAATCTAGGATTTGGAGAGAAAAATTGAGGTTAATTCTAATAATGTTTAAAAGTTATTGATTTTTTTTATATGTTAGATGACCGTTTTCAATAAAAAAATTTTTTTAACTAAAACATAATCCTTTTGTTCAGATAATGTTTATTCAATACATAATTGTTGTTTTAAGTATACACATTTATATATATTTTTTAAATATAGATGGCTATGGAGGTCGTATGAATAGTCCCATGAATGGTCGTTTTGGTGGAGGTTTCGGTCCTGTTGGTGGAAGAGCCTTTGGAGGAACTGGCCATTGTGTGCACATGAGAGGCTTACCTTTTAGAGCTATTGAGCAAGATATTTATGATGTACGTAATTGGTACAATAATTTAAACAAGCATTTTACGTATTTAATCAAAAATTATATCTGTTATTGGTTTAAAAATTGAAATTTTGTATTTAGTTTTTTAGACCATTAAATATATCACCTATAAGTGTTCGTTTGCGAAATGACAGAAGTGGCCGTCCATCTGGTGAAGCTGATGTTGAATTTGCAACTCATGAAGATGCTGTGAAAGCTATGACTAGAGATAAAGCAAATATGCGTAAGACATTGTTATTACTATTCAAAATTGCATGTTGCCATTGTTTGATCTCTCTTCTAAATTACAATTTGTTTTTCTTAATAAACATGGTGCATAGACTAGAGATAAAGCAAATATGCGTAAGACATTGTTATTACTATTCAAAATTGCATGTTGCCATTGTTTGATCTCTCTTCTAAATTACAATTTGTTTTTCTTAATAAACATGGTGCATAGACTAGAGATAAAGCAAATATGCGTAAGACATTGTTATTACTATTCAAAATTGCATGTTGCCATTGTTTGATCTCTCTTCTAAATTACAATTTGTTTTTCTTAATAAACATGGTGCATAGACTAGAGATAAAGCAAATATGCGTAAGACATTGTTATTACTATTCAAAATTGCATGTTGCCATTGTTTGATCTCTCTTCTAAATTACAATTTGTTTTTCTTAATAAACATGGTGCATAGACTAGAGATAAAGCAAATATGCGTAAGACATTGTTATTACTATTCAAAATTGCATGTTGCCATTGTTTGATCTCTCTTCTAAATTACAATTTGTTTTTCTTAATAAACATGGTGCATAGACTAGAGATAAAGCAAATATGCGTAAAACATTGTTATTACTATTCAAAATTGCATGTTGCCATTGTTTGATCTCTCTTCTAAATTACAATTTGTTTTTCTTAATAAACATGGTGCATAGACTAGAGATAAAGAAATTTGTGTAAGACATTGTTATTACTATTCAAAATTGCATGTTGCCATTTTTTGGTCTCTCTTCTAAATTACAGATTTTTTTTTCTTAATAAACGTGGTGCGTAGACTATAGATAAAGCAAATATGCGTAAGACGTTGTTTTTACTATTCAAAATTGCATGTTGCCATTGTTTGATCTCTCTTCTAAATTACAGATTTATTTTTTCTTAATAAACATGATACATAGCGTTTTTAAAAAGTGCTTAAAAGGTGCCTTTTTTCGATTTACATTTTTTAAAAGTCCTTAAAGGTGCTTTTTTCATTGGGTGTTTTTAAAAAGTGCTTAATATTTCTTTTTCAAAAATGAGATTTTTTCTTTACTGTGTTGATTTTCACCATGTATTGTGAGCTGGGTTCGGTGAGATTCTTGCACTTTCGTGTGCAACTCTGCTGCATTTTGCAAGATATTCTCAATTTCAGGCTTCATTTTCCACCCTCTGATATTGAACCGGAAAATTTCTTGATCATTTTATAATGGCCAATATAATCAAGTAAAAAATTCTTTGTCGGAAACTAGTTATTTTATCATGATCATGTAAAGTTATTTTGCATTTTGTTAACGTATATAGTACTTAAAAATATTTTTAAATGCTTAAAGGTGCTTATTTTTTGTTGAGAGATTTGGCTGCACAGCCTGATAAAATATTTATTTATAATAGCACTTTCATTTTGTGCTGCTGTTCTAAAGCTTGTTTCATTAATTTCTTAATTTAACAGTAATTTTTTAAATAGATTACAAAAAAATTTTATTTAAATTTTTTGTTTTCAATTTTTGTTTTTATTTATTTATAGATATCATTAAATGCTCTAAAGTTCCCCTTAATTTTTAAAAAAAATCGCTGAATGAATGTTGAAGGAACGAATATAAAAATATTCTGAGCATCGTTTTGAAACGCAAATGAAAGAATTCTTATTTGGGAGAGGTGGTGCCCACTTATACATAGACAAGAATAGAGAATATTATAAACTGTCTTTCAAAATTGTTTCTTTTTAATTATGTTTGAACATGCTGAAGCTTGTTTTCTTTTTTTGCGAGCATGTAACTATTATGAATCATTTTTACCCGTCTTTAAAGATAACTTTGTAAATAATATTAATTCAATTTATTTTTGAGGAAAAAATTGTCCTATCATAGGTAGGAGAGGTAGAAGGGGGAGTAAAAAAAGATAACATGACTGTAATATAATTATGTTGTTAGTTAAAATTATTAATTAGATTATTAATGTATTTGTAACTTGGGAAATGATAGATGTTTTAATTCTGTTTTGTACTGATGTTTTACTACAAAGCTGTTTTGAAGAAACAATAAAGCTTAAAAATCTTCCAACAACCTCATACAGAAATCTTAATAATTTATTTTATTAAAAAATACTTATATTTTATTTATGATGATATTCCCTTTTTTCTTTTCTTTTAGAACATAGATACATAGAGCTATTTTTGAATTCGTCCTCGAAGCCAATGAGTTCTGGTCCTGCTTCATATGGTGGTCGATATGGAGGTGGAGGTATATTTAACTCTCTTAATTAAAAGCTGTGTATTATAATTTAATTAAAAACTATTATTGGTTATCATTAGAGCGGGATTCTGGTGTCTCCAAAATTTAATAAAAATGCCCTTAAAATAAAAATTTTAATTAAACATGTATTCGTTTCTTTCTTAAAATTTCCTGTAACATGTAAATGTATTGAATCACAAGACATTGAGATGTTATTTTCATTAGAATTTGAAATCAGTGTTAAATGAAAACTGATACTAAACAAAAAATGAAAAGAAAAATTTTTTCCCAATATTAACGAACATCTTTTTTTCAAATGTAAGTTTTAAAGCTTCTATTAACATCTATTGGTGTTATTATAGGGTGGCCACCCACCTGGAAAACCTGGAATTATCAGGGAATTTTTTTTATACTGGAAAAAAGCTGGAAAAGTCAGGGAAATTTGGTTAAAAATCAGGGAATTTGAAAGAAAAACTGCAATTTTTCTCTTAATTTGAATTATTTTACCATCCATTACATCCACATTTATTTAGATGTAAATTAATCTTAAAAAAGTTGAAATATCATCAACTCAGCAATACTTTTCTTGCATTTCTGACACTTGAGTAAAATATTTCAAATTAATTAAGTATCATTTTTTACAAACAACTGCATAGAATTTTTTATTCAAATGTTAACTTCAAAATTCAGTCAAGTTTGCATTTAAATTACAAACAAATTCACAGAGTTTAGACAATTTGTAAATTAGTAATCATTTTTTGCTTTCGTGCGATTAACATCCGACAGCAACAATTTAATCCATTTAATTTGAACTTATAATAATCAGTCTTTATAAAACGAATTGTTTTTCGGTAGGTACTAAATTTATATACTAAATTTTTAATGTAAAAATTTTATGATTATAAACTTTGTTTTATTAGATAGTTTTTCCAAGAAATTAATGCTCATTTTTTTTCCAACACCATGGAATTGTCCAGATGTAAAAACAAAGCAATTAACTCATCTAAACTAGGAAATCATGTTAGATTGGAATTCTTAATATATTCTAATTTCTAATAAGAAAAAAAGAATAAAATTTAAGGAATTTTATCTAGTTTTTTTTTTCTATAGAATATGCAACAAGAAATTAGACAATTTTTCCTTTACGAATACTGAATATCTCTTAAAATAATAGTGCTAATTCGAAACAAACAACATTATTTGAACATTTGACTTATGATATTGGTTTAAAGAAAATTATTGATGAATTTTATAAATGGCACTGTTTGGATAAAATACAGTATAAAATGGCTCTATATTGAAATATAAATAAATATAAAAATTTATTTGTTTCTAATCACCTGGAATTATTTTCTTTTGCATATATAAATATATTAAACAGTTCTTATCCAAGATTGTTTTGGGTCATTGCTATTTGGTACATTTTGTGCAAAAACTATTTAACACTTAAAAAATTTATTTTGTTCATTAAAAGCGTTATTTTCTCAAAGCTAAACATATTGTTTCCTCCACATCTATTCAAAATGATATATTAAAAAAATAACATTTTTAATGAAATACTACATTATTGGCTAATACACTAATGTTGACACTTTTCTTGTACCTATACTACACTTTTGCAGAGAAAAAAAAACACTCTGACCTGGAAATTTTCAGATTTTTACTGGAAAACCTGGAAAAATCAGGGAAATTTGAAACCTGATTTGAGTGACCACCCTGTATTAGTGCATATCTGATACGAGTGTTATTAGTGAACCAGGCGCATCTTAATGCTTTTGGGCGCATGTTTCATTATTATTACAGTTTATGTCATCCAATTATTGATTCATTTTTTGACTTTCTGTCATTAAACCCAACAATTAATTCAGTTAAAACCACTTATAGTGACGACGATTCCAAAATTTGACTGTTAGAAAACAACTATAGAGGTTGGTGTTCAAGCTGGTGTCACTTTACTTACCTTTCCAACTTAAAATTTATCGATTATCAACCAGTTACTTGTATCAACCAATTTGAATACATTTCATTTCAAAGTGAAATAGTGCAAACAAGTTATTGCTCTTAACAGACACGATGTTCCATCATTTGAATATTTAATAATATTCAATCTTAAGACTTTGATTGGGACATCTCTATTAAACAGAAAAGAAAAAATTATTAAGGATTTTCTTTTCGTGATGTTGTATTGTTATTAAATTTGAAAAGTGAAACACTTAGAGGTTTTTTATTAAACTTTATTTTAGTCACTGATTGTTTTTGAGTAGTTTTTCTCACTGTTTAATGTTTATATACTCACAAAATCAGTGTGAAAAATGTCCCTCAATTATCCAACAAGCCTCCGGTCTTATGGGTGTCAGATGACCAATGTTCTACTAAATCTTTTAATTCCATTGCTTTTGTTGTATTGCTCCTTGTCTTGTATCCCCTGTTGTTGTTTTTTTTTATTCTTTTTAATAGCTCGTTTTACTGGTGGACAGTTGTCATCTTTTTTTTTAAACTGTAATACAGTAAATAGTTTATCTTAGTCAAAATGCATGAAATTCGTTAGAATGACTTAGGACTTCTAAAAATTTTAAAAAATGTCCTAAAATTAAAATAAAATCAACAAATTCCTTAAAATTTAAAAAAAAAAGACTAAAATTTTAAAAAATGTCCTAAAGAGTCAAAAAGTACAAACAAAATATAATTGAGTATACTATCGCCTACGTCACAGATTGTGTTATTCCTACTAAATTTAACCAGTGAACGGCATTTTCTGCGAGCCTGACATCAAGCCACAAATAAACAAACGGAATGTTCAATCTTTTAAATAGCTGCTCGCCAGATTATATTATATTAAATAGAAAAGTTCGCTTTGTAATAATTGATTTTGTTGTTTCATCTAAGTAACTCAATGTTTTTAGTAAACATATATTTAAAACTCAGTTTATTAATTAAATTAAAAGTTTTTTTTCTCTTCTGACAACGTGAGACATCAAACCAATTAAACTTAACGGACATCATTCTATAGAATCCATATTTTTTAAAATATCAATGTTTTCAAATCAAATTAAATTAGCGCATGTAAAATATTAAACAACAACCACTATCCTCCATTCATTTAGCATTGCATGATAGTATATGTTATTCCTACTAAAATTTTCGAAGTGGAAGTGGTTGTGTATTTTTTATATTATACCCAATTGTCATCTTAATCCAGAGCTTATCTTAATCACATTGTGTTGATATATTATTTTTGCTGATATTGATTTGATATATTACCAATTTCAGGGTATTATAATGGTGGAAACGGTGGTTACCAAGGACATGGAATGAATAGCATGATAGGTGGCAGTAATTATTCAGCATTTTGAAATTGAATTCAACTTTAGTCATTAAATTAATAACAAGCCAGTGGGTTTGGACATTCCAGTGCAGTTGTATAGTTGAAAATTAATGTTAAGAAGTTATTGTTTTGTGTTGTTGCCAACCTTTAGTGTTATTAACTTTTAGTGCCACTAAACAAAGTCTGTCATATTTTCTTTGATCTTCTGCTAGCTAGTGATAGAAAAATTATATTTTTATTTACTGTTAATGGAGATATATGTTTTTGTTAAGGGATAATATTTTTTAATTTTCCAGTACAATTTATAACTTTATCACCCATGCATTCAGCTGATTTGTTTTATTCATATGTGTTGACCATTTTCATCTGAAATGACAATGTTGTAAGTTTTATTATGTATATCATCACCTAATGCATATTGCATGATTGAAATAAATTGTTTTATATATAAATGAAGCTGCTGATGTTTAGTTTTCATTATCCAATATTTAGTTGTTTTAGATGATATTTAAAGATGAAGGAGGAAAAACTGTCCCTCATTTTTCAAAAAAATGATGATTGATTCACCATCTGATGCATTTTGAGGTTTACAAAGCTTTGACAAATCAATAATGTGGGAAATCGGTTCTTCCTGAGAGTCATTACACATTGTAAAGGGGAAGTACCATGGAAAAACAGTTGCTATCCACCTGTAAAAGGTGTAAAAACGTATGGAAGGTGTTTTCAATATAAATGTAAACAACAACAATCTCGGAAGTTGAGTAGGTCAATACTCAACTTCCGGTTAGAAGGCTTACAGCTGCTTATTCTGCAAGGCGATATTTTCAAACATGTAATTTTGTTTCCAATAAAAGAAATAAGTTATCTAATTTCTTAGCTCAAATCTGCTGTATTTCATAAAATATTAAGTAATTCGGGTGAGTTTGGAGTGAAAATTTATTTTAGTTATTTATAGGTATATTGTTAAAAAAGATGACATGGTTGCTGTATTTAGAAAGAACTCGCTTTTTTGGCAGTCCTGATTTGGACTCTTTTTACTTGTTTACTACTGTTTTTTCTTGTTCTGAGGCGTGCACCATCATATGTTAGTGTTGTCATATTGTTCTAGCTGCGAGACTTAGTTCATTTTACAAATTATCATTTTGGTTTAATTTTCGAAGTGGGTTATTGTTGATCAGGTGATAGGTGTTTTATAAAAAAAAAAAATTTCAAAGGGTAAACTACACAGCAAAAACCACTTCGAGTTATGAACTTAGAACTCATTGTAAACACACATAATAAACCAGGTAACAAATACTATATATGCAAGAAATAGTACTAAAGAGAGGCTCAAAACAGAATGAACACATTGTGAACCAAATGCCAGTAACCCAAAAGTGCAGGCAGTAAAGAGATGCAGCGGTCTTTAGTGTAGAAAACACCATCCATAGTGAAGACAAGATTGGAATACAAGTGATTAGGGGGGTGGATTTTAAAGAAAAAGCTATTCTTGTCCAACCTGACTTTCATTTTTTTTTTTTTTTTCAGCATCAAAAAGTGTAAATTCTGTTTTGAAATTTTTAGGGGATGTAAATAAATGCTTGTGACAGCCATATATATATATATATATACAGTCAGACCATGATATAAGGTCACCCTAAGGGACATCGCAAAAGTGACCTTATAAGCGGGGTGACCTTTTAACCGATTCATTAGCAGTTCGTAACTAAGCACGTAAATAGTACACAATAAGACTTTTTAAAAATGTTAATACAAACAAAAACGATCAGCCATAAATTAAATGTTTAAGTCAATAAATTTTAACAGAATTACCTAGTAAAGAATTAAAGAAAGTTAGATTTTTAAAAAAAAAAGTGCACATACATACATTACATCTTACCTTATTTAAAATAATCATTTATGCAGGTCTGTCTTGTTTTTGGTTTCATTTTTTGAACAATGTTTTCTAGATTTTGTAACTTCTCAAAATGTTACTCAGCTCCCTCATGATTTGTAAAAAAATTTCACGTCACATTTATTGAATTGGAGGTTTCCACATGGGTTACAGCTACAGTCTCAGGACTGTCATTGTCCTCACTGTCCACAACTTGTGAAACAATTTCAGAAATTGTAGCTTGTTCGTTGGCTGTAACATTTTCCTAGAACTCGAAAGGGGTAATTGCCTTGTAAGGAAGTTAAATAGGCTTTTGTTAGAAAAGAGCTTCCCTCGCTTCAGATAAAAATGACCTTATAAGCGATAACGATTTTTAAAACTTGACCATGTATCCAATATTTTGCAACAAAGAATTCCTATTCATTGAGCCGGGACTTTGAAAAGTGACCTTATATCGAGGTCTGACTGTATATATATATATTTTACAATTTCATGTGAATGCTTGCTCCTGAAAATTCTCAAATCTTAAAATCTATTTTTCTGAAAATCAACCTTCATGGACATAAACCATTTATTCCCTACCTTGATCCTCATTTGTAGTTCAATAGTACTGAAGAATTGTGAGTACTTAGTAATTCATTTAAGAATGTAGGGTTTATCCTTATGATCATTTTCCAAAATAGCATCATATTCGACCTTTCCCTCTTCTTCTTGATTATAATATCTCTCATGACTAGGATGCAAGTTGGGTAAATTTCCACTAATTATGAGTGTTTTCTTCTAAAATCTGAAATTTTTTCAAAATGCTCAAAAAAGGGATTTTTTTTTTTAGAATTTTTACTTTTTAGCAATTAATGCTTTTTTGAAGCTTTGAAATTGATAATTTATAGCTGATAAAACATTTAAAAGAATAGAATTGGAGACAAACAAAATCATGTCAAGTAATTCAATCATTCGGATTATAAATTAAGGATACTATCCTTCCTTAAAATGCCATAAGTATTCAAAAGAATGAAAAAATTTAGTAAGCCTTATTCTTAGTAAGAAAATTTACTGAAATATGAGAGTAACACAAGCTATTACACTTGACAATAAAATTTCTAAATACTTTATGCTCAAAAACAATGTTGGCTAGCTATTTGTTGAATGATGAAACATAAATTAGAATAATTCAACAATGTAGAATATTTTCGCACTGAAATTCTGTTCATTTGAATATGGATATTAATATTGCATGAAATTTAAAGCACGACTGTTAAATCTGTTCTTTTATGTGCTTTTATTTTATTATTTATGTCATGCACAAATGTTTCAATGGAAAACACTTTTGTGCATCTTCCTCAAATTTTGGTCCTTTTTTTCCTGCAACAAACTTCGACCCTACTATTTTTTGCATGAAATTTTGTTTTTTACATGTGAACATTTAAACTTAAGCTCACTACCTACATTCAGTAAACTTTTTTAAAAGCAATAAATTATAAGAAAAATCTATGTATAGTTAGCTTGACTAAAATGTAAAATGAAATAAACAATTAAAATTATATGTTTGAAAAATTAGCAAAATTTTTTGTTTACTCTGAACATTGCCCACTCATATCTAACCTTTAAGATAAGAGAAGAAAATTGTGTTGCCTCTTAATTTTCATGTACGCACACTTTTGTAATTTGCCATATTTATCACACAAATATAGTGCAATTTAAAATTAAGTTAAATGTAATTCCATACTCGTAAAATATTTTTTTTATTAAATTATAATAAACAAATATTGTGAAATATTTTAATGAACTATACACTGTTTATACTTTATAAGAGAACTAGTCTCTGTTTTTACTACCATGTATTATATTTACAGTGTTATGAACTTTTTTTAACTTCATATTCTTCATTTATGATGTCTCTAAGCTTTCCCCAATCTTTTCCAAAGGTGATGTCTATACTGTCATCATAACACCCACATTCCTTTGCGTATACATCACATGAACAACCTTTTGGATGACAGCAATGTTTTGGCCCTTCCCCTAACGTGAGCTTCGAGCAACTTTCCTCCTCCTTTGCGCATTGACTGAAAAGATACTTAAATTTTAAAAAGATCTACATTCTTATTGGTATCAATTGATAATTGAAGAGATAAATGGATTGAAGAGGCATCTAACATTTAAAAAAAATTAGTTATTGTTGCATATAGTGGAAGTATGAAATGACTCTATTTCAAAACAATAACATCATAATTAAAGTTAGTTATGAAAAAGTTATTAAAAAGTGATGAAGCTTCAAGCGAGATTCAGTCTAGGTTATGCATTTTCTGGGGGGAAAAAATGAAAGTAAAAAGCTCTGCAGGCTGATTAGTTTTATAATTGAAGTAATAAGTGAAATGAACGAAGTAATTAACTTTTAAAACAAATTTGGTTGTTTAAAGCTGAACACGGTGGAACACAAAATATGTTGCACAAACATACGTACTATGATTTCGATTTCATAATGAAAAACAAAGAGTGTTTAAACACAAAAAAGATATCCTAAAGCAAAAAAGATGCAGAAGAAATTAAACAGAAATTTTAGAATTTTTCAAAAAAAGAAATGTCTGACAAATCTAGCTTAATTAGCAGTTTTTAATGGTTTTAGCAGAAAGAAAGTCGTACTTAAAACTCAAATTCGCTATGCCGGGCCATGGAAAATTCTAAAAAAAAAAAAAATCTCTTTTTTCTTATTATTAAAAAGTCTATCTGAAAGTAAAGTTGGTCAGATGGGTCCAAGTTAAGCATTAAACAGTTGACTTATTGGAATAAATTGACAACCCGTGATCACATTTTATGAAATAAAATTATCAAAAAAGTAAAAACAGAGGCAAATATTTAATTAGAAAATATGTCATTTACATTCCGCCCCTGAAGCATTGTGCATTTATCTTCTAAAGAAAACGAACCGCATTTGAGTAATGAAGAAAGGAAACTTTCATTGTTAGCTTGGTGACAAGGGGTTGATCAGTTATCTTTAAGGGTTCGAACCTGGGTTACCTCAATGCTCTACTTCTTTAACATTCTTGGCTGAGAAGTGAGAGGTCGAGGTTATTCTAATTTTTATTACCCTTATTAATTTTTTTGTTCAAAACATCCTATTTTAAGCTAACAATAGAAAAAAGATTATTACCATACATCAGCTACAAGTGATATTTTAAATTGAGATATAATTAAATTCTTTCAGAAGAAAAGAGAGAAACAAGATCAGAGTAAGTCCATTTTTATTAAAGTGTTGAAATCAAAACTGAAATAAGGCCTAAAAAAATTTATTACTTCTCAGAACCTCATCTCGCAGATGCTTTCTAACTTCCTATTAATAAGATTAGATTGGGCTATTCAGTATTTCATAACTTCTGAACTAAGATATTTTGATAGCCAAGTCTGCCATTATATATTTGAAAGTGTAAAGAGTATTAATGGTCATATGGTACATAAATAATTTATTAACGTACACATACAGGTGAATTCATAGTCACTGCTCTCGCTAAATGTAGGTCAAACTTTTGCCAATTATAAATTATCATTACATAAACATAAGGAGTCATCAACTAATAACTAAGCAAAAGCTAATAAAATTATCAAACTGTGAAAAAAAAATTTAAATCAACAACTTTTGGTATTTGTTGCAGAATATTAAAAGATATTGTGTCAGGCTATTAAAAAAAAAACTGTTTCATAATGCCTATTGACACTTTTTGGCGATAGACTTTAGTAATAGCTTAATTCTGTTTTTAAAATTGTTTTGATATTTTTTCTTTCATTTCAGTATTAATTTGGTGGTTATTTGTGCCAAGATTGCAATAATTTTTCTAGAAGGGTTATTAAAGCTTATAATTAAAACTAATGATAATGAATCACTTCACATGTATTTATGTATCTTCCTATTAAAAAAATGTTTAATGCAAAGATATAAATAGAACCATTTAAAAGAAACTGTGAGAGAAAAAGTTTACTTATGGCTATATATTATATCTTCAAAATTATACTTGCTTTATTGTATCTTCTAAGCCTCTTCGCGCTGGAAAAAAGAAAAACGTTTAAATTATAATTTAAAGATATTTAAGTAAAGGTTCAGTGTATTATTTTAGACTTTTATTACCTTTATGCCAATAAGAGCAATTTGCTTGCAACAGCAATGAGAGAAAAAATACAAGTACCCAAAACTTCATGTTCTTCGAGAAAGTATTTTTCACAAAATTAGCACGCCCTGAAAATTTTTGAAATCATTGTAGCTATCAATAATACTTCAATAGTAAGACATTCTATATTGAAAAATATGAGTTAGATTGCTAAGTTAAAACATTTAAAATCTAAGTTATAACAGCACTTTTTTTTGAACTACAAGTTTTAAATGACTTAAAATTATCGGATTTTCATATACTTAGATGGAGTTCGAGGGGTAGAACTTTTAATTAGTGCAGACAGTAATTCAAGTTGTCTCGCAGTGGACTGATCGTTAAGACACGGTTCCCAGCAGATCACCGAAGTCAAGAATCACTGGCTGCGGGTGGGTGACCACTTGGATCAGTCTGCGTAGGGACCGAGGGTGTGCGGTATTGGTCCTCGTTAAACTGTGCTACCGTAAAGTGCTCGACTTCGCGTCGAGGTCGTTGGGCTACCGAAGCGGGGGTGCCATCCCCTCTGCAAAGGATCAAAATTGTGATGGCATGTCTTCGGATCATCCTCAGGGATGTTTCCCAGACC